TAAGGTCAATGCCTTGTTAGAGGATAATGCTTACATGCTGTGATTTCTTGGATCACCTCCCCTTGCTTCTGGATTTGGGTTCAGTGTAATCATTGATGCTCTCTGAGAACGTATGCTTTAAATATCATCGTTGTTTAATCTGAAGTGTCTTTTGTCCAAACGCAACTAAGGAAGTTGGTGGTCAAACACAAAATATATTAGAACATCTAATACTATTTGTTGGACGTGCTATTCAAGGGCTAACCTTCGTTACTTTAATCAGAAGACATTCCAATCTCATGGGATGTGGAAAGTTGTGCAGATTTTATTGCTATATCCGCTTTGAAAAGATTTGCAGGTTTTATTCGGAATAGGTTTCAACCCACATCTTAGTTAAATTTAGGAAAACCCCAAGGGTTTAGACTTTGCTTTAATTTACATCCTGTTTTGAGCTGCTATTGAACACTGTGTATGACACTCAATTGTCTTGAAAGGAAAAGGACATGTCTTTAAATTACAGTACTGCATCTGATTTCTTTCTATTGTCCTGTTTCATGTAAATATTTGCCTTTGATTTTTGTTCCTGAATTCTTCTGAATGAAGAATTCGTTAAGATTGGTTCAAACAGTATGCTAAAGCCTTGTAATGCAACCATTTCTTGAGTACTAGGTCAAGTTGAAAACTAAGCACATTAAAAGCTGAGATTGATAGTATTTTAAACTACAGGTTACATTTATCTTGGGCCATCATGTTTCCTTTTTAATGTAATGTGGAAGCAAAACTTTGAGATTGTAGTGTTTCTCATTTTATGTAAAGGGCTAGTTGAGGTCAGGACCACATTTATAGTATACACCAGGCTGGCTGATAGTGAATTGATGTCGGACCTTAGATAGTTTGGATGATTGTCATTTCATTTCTCTAGAATTGCAGGCAGCTTATGAAAGAGCTTATGTAAAGCTAGTTGAGATCAGGACCACATTTATAGTATACACCGGTCAGGCTGATAGTGAATTGATGTCGGACCTTAGATAGTTTGGATTATTGTCATTTTATTTCTCTAGAATTGCAGGCAGCTTAGTACTTGTCTGCTCTTGCAGTATCATATTAACCCATCTTTGCTCCATATTATGAAACCTCTCAAAACATGAACATTTGAGATTTCATGATGGACCTACCTCCATGTGAAGCATTGACTCTAGTTGAGAAACATGGACCGTGATGGACCGCATTTTGGGAACTTAGGTTCTAAATGTCAGTATCTTTGAGAGCACTTTAGCGCAAAACATGCTCTTCTAGATGGGTCATGTGTTTTCCGCCAGTGGAAGTTCCAGATGTGTCTAATTTGTTATTCTCTCGTGTACGTTATCTTTCTATTTTATTCAAAATTCATGTCTGATGAGTGCTGATAATGGTTTCTTTGGTTGCAGCATATGCAAGATGAGGATGCAGGAAGGCCTTACAGGAAGTTCTTATGAAGAATTTGTTTTTTGTGTAATAATGGTGGCTGAATTAAAATTGAACTTTCTTCAGGACACAAAAAATCGTTGGTTTCAGAACTCATGGATCTTCCCATTACTTTGTAAAACCCAAGAATGTGGTAACAAGGGATCATTTCGCCACTAGTTTTACAAGTAATATAGATTGTGCATCTGATCTAATTTGCTCGGTTGCAAGCTTTTTATGTTGTTTTCTTTATTGTCACACCCTCAGATGAGCAGCAACAAGTTTTCGCCTTTTTTTAATAGAGTTTGATCTCCTTTCCCTAATCATTTAGTTTCTTTTCCCCTCACAAAATGGCGTATGAAAATCTTCAGTTTTGCAAAGCAGCCGTGTGAATAGACAGGAAACCATAAATATAATTTCAGACTTCTGTTTTTGAGCCCGTGCAGGGTTACGACATCTTTATTCAAGTTTCTGAGTAACTAAGTAATTGAAACTAGTAGAGCTACCTAAACAGATGAGCTTCTTTACAAATAAACCTCCTCATTCCAGTTCGGAGATTGCCCCCAGAGTTGAAATGGGTGATATTCTATACTCTCTTGGATTAACTAGATTTATTGCATTGCCAGAAGTAAAGGGATTTGGGGGAAGACTCAAATTGGCACCATTTCCTTCAAGCATTTGAAGCACAATTGATATGGAAGGGCGATCCACTGGGTTCCATTGAATGCACCGCAGCCCGACAATTGCCAACCTTTTTGTAATCTGATTATTCTCCGCATGATCCGTTGCTTGTGTTGTGAACTCTTCTCCATTTAGCAGACGTTTGTAAACCCATTCAGGAAAATTGACCTGGTTATCATTCTGCACATTGGCATCGACATTCTTTCTTCGCCCCACCATTTCAAGCAATAACATCCCGAAACTATATATATCAGATTTGTAAGACACATTGCCGAAATGTCTGGAGAAGACTTCGGGAGCAATGTAGCCCATCGTCCCTCACAGCAGTCATGGAGACCTCACTTCTTTCTTTTGCACATAGCTTAGCTAATCCAAAGTCGGATATCTTTGGGTTATAGTTCTGATCCAACAAGATGTTTTGTGGTTTGATATCGAAATGCAGGATCCGTTGTTCACATCCTTGATGAAGATACTCGATTCCTTGGGCGATGCTGATAACAATCTCTTGCAACTTTTGCAGTCCAAGGGTATGATGTTCTTGACCATTTGGAAATATGAACTTGTCCAGAGAACCATTAGGTAAGAACTCGTAGACTAGAGCTCTTTTGTAACCATCTGCACAGAAGCCTAACAAGCGGACCACATTTACATGGTGGATTGTTCCCATTGTTCCCACTTCATTGATAAATCCCTCTCCATTTCCTGTGGAATCATGCAAAAGCTTCACAGCAACAAATATATCCTTTGAAACCTGCCCTTTGAAAACATTTCCATAACCTCCTTCTCCCAGTTTATCTGTGAAGTTGTTCGTAATTTTCTTAATATCAGCATATGAGTATCTTGTAGGTTTCATGGCTTCATAGTCTTCTACGAATTTCTTCAACCTAATCTGATTTTCTCTGTCTAGTTTTTTTGTGGAATAGGCCAGATAAACTGCTACCGTTACAAGCATCAAGAGAAACAAACTTCCAATGACAGGACCTGTTATAAAAACATATATTAAATTTTGTAGTTTTCTCCAGGAACGATGAATGGAGGTTACAGAAGAAGGGAGAATTTACCCGAGATACGTAGTGTCTTCAACATGCCTGCAACATGCCATCAAGTGAGAACTTACGTGTGTTCATAAGAATAATGTAAGCCACTTTGAGCTCAAAACGTGAGTCGAGTTACTGTTGCGAAATTTATTTGCTGAAATATTTTTACAGGACTGACAGCTATCACAGATTTGCTATTTTTGTGTTTCATCCTTCAAAATCGCAACCTTTAGCATTTGTTTCGTTTCTGGAATAACCTACGTAATCACATTGTGGTTGAAATTTTGAATCTAACCCTTAGCACTGATACCCGTAAAGCCTTTTTCAACAATCGTACTGGAAAGCCTGTTATGGTAAAACTGATGTGGAATGGCGTAGAAAGGTACCATATAGAGTTTTAACAGTAACATTCTTTTTTTTCTTGGCAAAGTGTCTTCTTTAGTGTAAACCTATATGCTAATAAGAACAGTTTGAAAGTTTTATGATTCTGATTATACATGACTTAGAAATATCGTTGATTAGCTGTCCTTTTTTCTGCTTTCTGGGAACTTTTGTCTAAAGCCAGTGAATGATTAGGAGTATGTGAGTTTTTCGTTTGCTTCTCTAATTTGTACGCTGGAAATGCTAGTAAATCACATTTACTCAGGAAAAGTACAGTACATACCCGAGTGGTGTTTTTTTCCTCCCAAGCATCCGATTTGATTGTTAGTTCTGTTTGTCCATCTGCAAATTCCACCTTCTAACTCACAGCTTCTACATGGTGGGAAAGGCCAATTCAAGTTTGTAAACTGTTTGTTAAGCATATCCAGTGGAACTAAGTTGGTGCCATACATCTTTGTACAAAATTCCATAAATCTTGCTAGAGGCCGAATTCCTCCAGTTGTTATTATCGCGCAAACTGTGTAGCCATCAGTTTGGAGACAGTCGATCTCGGTCCAGTAATGACTGGAATATCTCTGTTCTCTACGTGAGGACGAGCAATTGAATAAAGAGTATTGACCAACATCAGCTTCTGTGAAGTAGTAATCTTCTGATGTGGAATACTGAAAGGGTGTGTTGGATATATCAAGATATCTTAGCTGCTTCGCGAAACAACTTTCGAGAGACTGTATTTCCAATATTGAAACAAATAGGATATGGTTGTGACTGCAACTTTTACAGATGAGAAAGGCAGCTCAAGTATAGTATGGTTCTCTTTGTCGCAGTGGAGATTGTAGCTGGAGTTATAACCACAAGATTCAGGCTGCTTTCCTTGAAGAAAGAATGGAAACCTTACTGCAGGGCCATCAGGACTGCACTTTTTCTCAGCACAGTTATCATCAGGCTGTGCAGTTTGTTGGTTCGCTGGAATGATTAGTAAATCGAAAGAAATAATCAAAGTCATTAATAGTCTGATCATCATGTTTTGCAAGTTTTCAGTGTGGTGCTGCAGAAGGATTATGGCCGCCTAGGAAAGACTTGTTTTTGAGGAGAAATGGATAGTATAATATAAGAATACTGAGCAGAACAGTGATTTTGACCAGTGTCTCTTGTGACGACTTTGAATGATTGTGTTCACTATTATAAAATTAGATTTTACATTTGAAGATGTTAACATCACCATTGACCCCTTTACTTGATGTGTAGTCAATGGTGTCTGTGTAGGAACCAGTCCATGAATGAATTAAATAAGCAAAAAAAACCATATTGATCAAACTGAGTTGACGGACAAAACCGAAGGGTGATGAAGACGTTAATGACCAAAACAAATATAATGGCAACAAAGCTCTTGAAAAAAAACTCCTTTTAGTCTGATCTTTCTGCTTGGCTTTTATGAGTTTATCATAGCATACACTGGAAGTCTGAAAACTCTTATTGATGATGTTTTCGCTGCACATTTTGGCATTCTTGTCATCCGTTCTCTTAATCTACTTCTTGGTTTGCTGGTTCATCCGGTTTGATCTGGAAAGTGGCAGTTGTTATGGCTATTCGACATCTGAAGCCAACTACACCTGTGAGGATAGCCTTCACATTTGTGGCGATTCTCGCTTCACTTTGAAGTTCCCTTTCCGATCTGAAGACGATCCAAGTGTTTGCAAGTATCACGAGTTCATTTTGTCTTGTCAGGACAACCGCACGGTGTTGTACACAAACAAGCTTTCGGAAAAGTACTACAACGCAGTGGTAAATAGTTTGGATACTGGAAATCAAAAGATTCGTGTGGTAGATCCTGAGTTAGAAAAATACAGTTGTTCAATTCGTTCACTTGGCACATTTCCTCATGACTGGCAACCTTACCAATTTGAACCACCAAATGAAATCAGTCAGCTTCCCATTCTATCCTTGACGATAAGTGATGATGCTGATGAATTGGTCTTTGTGAGTTGTAAATATGCAGTGAAACCCGAATCAAACTCAAAGTTCCATAAGTTAGTTGACACTGCATCTTGTAATGTCACAGAAGTGTATATGGCCGATGGTTAGTTCAATCACTCGGGTGATCATCAGGCTGTTTATCATAACTATGTTTTTTTTGGTGACAATCTTCTGGTTTCTGACATTGAAGAATCATGCACCATCATTAAAATCGTCCCAGCGCAGATTGATGAAAAGTCTACCCTCAAAAGAACAGGTGCTGATGTTTCACTTGAAGACATACACAATCTGTTGTCTGATGCATTTCAACAAGATTGGATGTCGTTCACCCGGGCGGAGATATAACACTGAGGAAACCATTTCGGTGTAAGTAAAACTGTTTTTTCTCTTTCAACTTACTTTCAGATTCAATTCTGGATATGATTTCCTTGTTGATCAATGTTACAACTTTTTGCAAGTTTATATAAATGTTAGTTCATCAAAAGAAATTAGTTCTTGTTCTTGAAATCTGTAGGCTATATGGTGTCAATGCTAGATACGTTGCAGCGTATCATTCATTCCATTCTTCGGAGATCTTCACAGATTGGACGCGAGTAAACACAGACCCTCTAGCCATTGGAGATAATACTTCTTTCCCATTTTAGTTATCTACAGAAATCTCCAGTCAAATCATTTCATTACGATTTTATAGTCCACATTTAGTTTCTTCATGCTTCATTTAATTGTTGTTCTGCTTTGCGTTGTTTTCTGCAGGACTTGAGGCCAAAGGACTCAAGGTCTTAGGTAAGATGTTAAATCCAAAAGATAAGAACAGAGTTCTACTCAGCTTTTATCACATTCATAACTTGAAAAGTAATAATCAATATGCTCATTTGAATTTCATTGCAGTGCTACTGTTCACAGCAAGAAATCTTCTTGGGACTATATTTTTGATGGCTTTTCTCATTTACAAGTGGCGCCGAAGGCATTTGTCAAAGTATGATTTGGTAGAAGAGTTATTGAAAGCAAGCAATGGCCTTATGCCTATCAAGTACTCCTACAGAGAAATAAAGTCCATGACCAACAATTTCAGGGACAAATTAGGTGAAGGGGGATATGGATCAGTATACAAAGGAAAACTGCGAAGCGGAGGTTTAGTCGCTGTGAAGATGTTAAACAAACCAAAAACCAATGGACAAGAGTTCATCAATGAGGTCGCAACTATTGGAAGAATTCACCATGTCAACGTGGTTCGGCTTGTGGGATTTTGTGTAACCTTCTCAAAGCGTGCTTTAGTCTATGATTACATGCCTAACGGCTCACTGGACAAGTTCATATTCGCAGACAAAATAAATTCACATACATTCGGTTGGAAGAAAGCATATGAGGTTGCAGTTGGCATTGCTCGAGGGATTACGTACTTGCATCAAGGCTGCAACATGCAGATTCTGCATTTTGATATCAAACCACATAACATCCTTCTTGATGAGAACTTTGTCCCAAAAGTTTCTGACTTTGGACTCGCTAAATTGTATCCCGTTCAAAATGGTCATGTCGCAACTCTTACTGACATCAGAGGAACAATAGGCTATATAGCTCCTGAACTGATATACAAGAACATTGGGAGAGTTTCTTACAAGGCAGATGTGTATAGTTTCGGAATGTTACTCATGGATATGGCTGGTAGACGACGGATGAATGTTGATGCAAATGCAGATCGTTCAAGTCAAATGTTCTTCACCTCGTGGATATATGATAAATTTGATCGAAATAAGGACATTGAGATCGATAGTGATGTAAGTAACGAGGAAAAAGCAATCGCAAGAAAACTGATTTTGATCGCGTTGTGGTGCATTCAAATGACACCGGATGATAGGCCGTCAATGAAAGAAGCCCTAGGAATGCTTGAAGGTGATCTTGAAAAAATGCAATTGCCTCCTAAGCCATTGTTGTTTCCTCCAGATTCGGCTGTGCATATTCAAAGCGCTGATGGTTCTTCTTTTGGTAGTTCCTCTGAAGGGTTGATCCAACCACTTTGCAGATCAGTTACTTTGGAAATTGAATGAACTGACACCACTTGATTTTATGTGTTTTCTTGTAATATGACACAATCCTTCAAGTTTATCTAGTCGAATTTTTTTTTTTTTTTTCGGTTCTTAAAATCTCCCAAGTAATTTCTGCACTAGGCTACCTATCGTTGTACAGATATGAATTCATAAAACAAATAACTAAAGAAAAATCTTTGCTGTCGTATTTTGCGTTAGTCCTACGGTTCCTGATTAAAATTCATCAAGTAGTTATCCTGTCAATTTGTTTTGGATGACCTATGCTGAAACATCCATGTGTTAGAATCAATATAACTTCATCCATTGTCACAAAGATAGGCATGATTCGCAGCCGTTTTTCATCCATGGAGGCAATCATAACTTTGTCGACTGTAATGCTATTCAATACTCTTCTCGTATTAGAAAAACAGTTCATTTTGTTACACTGTTTTAGATCAACGAAATGTATTATTTTTCTATAACAGACGAAATTAATTGTGTAATAGTTTGGACCATGCGTTGATGCGTTGATGCATGGCCAAATTAGAGCCATAAGTCCCAACCCACGGTATGGTTAGACTTGATGTTTTCACCTACCATGTGACGTTATTCGTTTCTGAATTGCTCCAACTAGAAAACAATTCTGGATATTTTTTGAATACATTACTGGTTTAAAATAAACAATGGGTTATGGGATAACCGATCATGGTTTTGCAAAGGAGGAAAATTATGATCGAAAAGCAGAACTCCAAGCTTTTGATGACACTAAAGCAGGGGTCAAAGGACTAGCAGATTCTGGTATAACCAAAATTCCCAGGAGATTCATTCATCCAGCAGGTAACTTTCTGAAGAAATCCAAATCCAAGGAATCATTCCAATATGATTTTCCAGTGATTGATCTTGACGGGATCAGAAAAGGGCCAATCATGCGTAAGGAGCTAGTGAAAAAAGCCCGGGAAGCATCCGAAAAGTGGGGATTTTTCCAAGTGGTTAATCATGGAATTCCTGTTAGTGTTTTGGAAGAAATGATAGCTGGAGTACATAGATTCTTTGATCAAGATTTTGAGGTTAGGAAAGAATGGTACACAAGAGATGCAACTAAAAGGGTTGTTTACAACTCCAATTTTGATCTGTTTAGTTCACCAGCTGCTAATTGGAGGGATACTGCGTATTGTGTTATGGCTCCAAATCCACCAAATCCAGAGGAATTACCCCCTGTTTGCAGGTTTGCTTTTAGCCATTCTTCCTGATTTTACAAAATAAACAGCTTTTTGCTTGAACCCAAGTTGATTGAATCAGCAGATTCTGCGTAACAGAACATATGATAGGAAATGATTTTTAGATTTTACATTCTCCATTCATATATGAGAGTGAAATTCTTCTTGTTTAGGAATATTTCATCCGCTTCTGTGCATGTAAATGTACACCTGAATATGATTAACTAATGCCCCGCCCTGATCACCGCTTGGCGATCTTCACAAATGACTACATATGAATCAATGCTGAAATGTTTACATACTTGCCCTGGCAGTGGCACTGACTCTCTTTGTGTTGCAGAGATATTATGATAAAGTTCTCACAAGAAGTAGCAAAACTGGGATCAACTTTGTTTGAAATACTATCAGAAGCTCTTGGTCTGAATCCGAACTACCTCAATGACATTGGTTGCTGTGAGGGGCTGGCTGTTTTATGCAATTATTATCCTCCATGCCCTCAGCCAGAGCTGACATTAGGCACTACAAACCATACCGACGGCCACTTTCTTACCGTGCTTCTACAAGATCACATTGGAGGACTTGAAGTTTTGCATGAGAATCAATGGGTTGGAGTTCCACCACTTCCTGGAGCTTTAGTAATAAACATAGGAGATCTTCTCCAGGTCGGAATATTTTTGTAAGATTTAAGACATTATTTTTGGTCATTAATCCGACTTCTGATCAATTTGGTTCTTTTTTTTTTTTTTCAGCTTATGTCAAATGATAAGTTTATCAGTGTAGAGCATAGAGTATTGGCAAATGATGTTAGTGCAAGAGTATCGGTGGCAAGCTTCTTCAGAAACTTCGATGTATCGCCATCAGCAAAGGTATATGGTCCGATTGAAGATCTTCTGAGTGATGAAAATCCGGCGAAATATAGGGCAACAACTGTAAGAGAATATTTAAGCTTCTTCCACAACAAAGGGCTTGATGGAACTTCAGCTTTGACACACTTCAGGCTCCAATGAACAAAAATTTCTCTACCTTACTATATGTAGAACAGTGGTTGATCTCTCAACTGTCACATTCCTAACTCAATCTTATGTTCACATGGTCATATTCTACCTTTCCAAGAGTACGGCCTAGTAATGAATTGAGAAACCACTGTAAAAACACACCAGGAAGCTGGAATAGTTTTGTAGATCCTTGTGGGTGGGAAAATTATGATCGAAAAGCAGAACTCCAAGCTTTGCGATGTGTTAATTGATTCATTTTCATCAGTTTTTCAACATAACATTTGTTAGCATACCTTTCTGCTGATTAAAATTTTCTAGACTTTTGACAAATTGGCGTCTCGGTCTCCCACAAAAAGAATAAGGAAGTTTTGAAATTTGTGTTTTGCGTGAGTACCTTTAAAGATTTGAACTTGGGAAAATAAAAATAATATGCTAACATAAAAGTGATCGGACATGGAGTGAATTTAACAATATTTTTTTCATCTTCATTGTTTTTGCATTAAAGCTGTTGTAATTTGTATATTTTTAAAGCCTTGTGCTTCTGCTCCGTGCAAAGCACGAGCAACACCTAGTGTAACTTAATCGATAAAAAGTCAAATCGAACAATAATTTTGGGACAAATTTTTTCTGACAAATTGGACAATAATTATGGGATGGAGGGATTATATAACTACTCCTAATCATGGAGTGTTCCTGATCGAAGCGATTCGCAACATGTCGGAGAAATGCATATGATGACCCATGGTATAATTTTATACTATGATGACCCACATGTCGGAGAATCGAGCTAGTAAAATTTTATAATATTGCACAATCTCCTCGAACAAAGGAAAAAGGGGGAATCTTAACCCTAGAAACATGAAGCGTTCGTAAATGGTGATTTTTTCTTCTGGACGAGTATTAGCTCTCTTAGTTCCTAGGGGAGCTCGCATTTCTAAATTCTGGGGCAAGTCATATTTCGTTCTCATTGATCCGACCTTCTCGTTGGAATTTATAGTGGAGACAAAATCATCTGCGGTTTTCAGATCTGGGTTCCTAGTCATGGTTCAACCTAGATTTATACCATCCTATATTCAACCGCAGAAAAATAAAGTAAACAGAATGAGAGTCGTAAATCTGGGAACTTACTTTTGACACTTTCGGCAAAGGCTTCCACTCCCTTTTTGAGTTGTAGCTTCCCAGATTTACAACAGTCACCGGCGGCGGCGATTCCTAGGTGTCGGCTGGTGGAACAACTGGATGGGTTGTTGATAACACAGTTGAGAAACCTTCTCTGACCGCGGCTACTCGAACCAACAGAGACAGATATTACCAGCTGCGATACCTGGGGCACAATGGTGAATGTGGGGATCTTAGATTTTCAAAGAATAGGTTTTGAGAGTAGAGGAGAGTTGTTCTCTTTGCAAAATGAAATAGGGAGAATAATGAGTCCAAAAGGTTTTATGTACTGCTGTTGCTGCCCACGATTTGACGGTTTGGGCAAGTTCCAAGGGAGCAGTAATGATGAAGGTGTCGTCACTTGGGGAATGTGCCCACTGATGCCGCGTGGTTTAACAGTTTGGGCGGGATCTTAAGGCGGGTTGCTTTCACGGATCGGATCCTGACCCGCGTGCTTCTTTGTCAGACCTGCTCAATACAATATGGGCCGAGTCTTGTCCACTTCACTTGGGCTGGGGCCAGGTCAGTTTTATCTTATGTCAAGTCTTATTTATTTCATACAACTAATACTTGACAGGGGCATTTGACGAGTCCATATCTACCGAGAATTACTGGACCAGCCCATCAACCAACTATGGTCCAACCGACCTGATAAAAGCGGTTCTAGAACATGAAACCTAGTAGGATTCGATATCTTTCAAGATCACTTAATGCAGGGGCGGAGCCAAGCCCCCTAAATATGATGGGGCTAAATTTTTTAAATTTCTAATCTAATATAGTTGCCCCTAATATTTTCAATTCAGCTGGGGCAAAAATTGATTTTTTTATAGAAAATTCTAAAATTTCAAGGGGTTAATAGTAAAAAAAAAAAAAATTTCAGTTGGAGCAATTGCCCCACTTCCCTTGTATGTAGCTCCGCCCTTGACTTCATGCCTATAAATAGGGTTGGTCATACCACAATACGTATATGCTATCTCTAGCACAAACTACTCATACGTTCTTTAAAAGAAAAATCGCACGAGGGACGTCATTCGTAGATTTACGAAACCACAAGGGGTCATTTGGAATTTTTCTTTTATACATATATATATTTTAAAATTTATTATGAACCTGTGTTTAAAAGTATTTCTTTGACCAATCTGTAAACATCTTCTAATAAATATTATTATCATTGATGCATTTAAATATCATGCCTGAATCCCGATCATATTAAAACTGACACAATATCTTCTCATACCTTTATCATTTGGAGCAAACATACCGGTTTATCACTTGGAGTAAATTCATGTTTTTATTTACTTTAGTTACAATAGATGTACCTCATAGCTTTCCGTAACTTAATATGATGGACAATTGCAAAACATTACTAAAGGCTGGTCAATGCCAATTATGCGGCGGTAATGTTTCTGCCTAAAAGGATTTGATTTACTAACAAATCACTACACAATGGTATAAAGTCAATGGGTTTTAGCTTAGGAAAATGATAGGCCGCTCGACTTGAAACCTCGAATCTGCAACGCGAATGAATTGGCTTCCAAGCTGTATAATGGAATCCTCCAGCAATTTTCCCCCGATTTAGTGATGGAGTTCCACTGCACATTTTATAGGACTATTTTTTTTTTTCATTCCCCTTCTGGTTAGGGGAAATTTTTTCTCTTAAAAGGATAAACATGGTTTAAACTGAACAGGTTTAATTTTTTTTTGCCAAATAGCAACACTCTTATGACCTTCATAATAACGTTGTAATAATCTTCAACTTTTACAAAAATCATATGCAACGCATAATACCCTTCATCGAAATAACTAACCAGGGAAGTCAAAAAAGCTAGTAGTTAAATTACTCATTTCACAACAGATCGACATTGATCCACATTCTGGGAAATAAGATTTCAACTATTCAAGATTCATAGATACGTATTGAGATCACAGCCAATGGATTCCACACGTGGAAAAACTTAATAGCTTTTTTTTGTACTGAGTACTATTATATATCTCCGCATCCCCCATTCTCACAGGAAACAAACATCCCATCCAGTTAAAATCATAATTGTAGCTTTCTTCCCTCTCTCATGAATGTAGAAAAATCTACTGGAAGCTTCCCTTCAAAACCTATTTTGATTCAGTGCAAAACTATCAAACTAGTTTTTCATGTCTAATTTCAAATTACTTGATGGCACAACACATAGAATATATTTTCCCCCAAGAACAATTAATTAACACTAAATACCCCATACATGTAGGTAAAGTTTGCTTGAAACAAGAGCTTGCAATAATAAATACCTAAAGGCGAAACATGAATATACAGGTCGGCTTCTACAGTCAAAACTCAGAAGTAGACAATCGGAGGCCCTTGGACATTGTCAATCAACTTTCGTAACAATCTTCCAATTGCCGGATCCTTGCGAAGGCAAGCCCAGAAGATAGGATGCCCGAGAATTTTAGGAACACAACCTCGGAGAGCATTACAGCCCCTAAGGTTCAGTGACAAGCGAAGGTAACAGCTAATGATATGCTTCAATAGCCGCTTTGATGAAGAAGTCACTTCAACAAGTGCCCCGCCAGCAACCATATTTCTCAGCGCTCGAAAAAATTCATAAAACCGGTCCTCAGCCTTACATACTTATTCCAGGCCCCAATTATCCCGTAGAATCTTCTGTACAATAAAGGTAGCAACTATTTTCGACAGTAAAGAACCCATCTCTATTGCACGTAGACATGGAAGAACAATGTCCGTGGTGTTGTGGCGGAAAGGGTATAAACACAACAAACCAGCGAAAACGATTCCCAAGAAAAACTCCTTTCCTACTACCAATAAAATAGGACAACCAACCAAACAAGCAAATAATTCAACAAAAGATAAAATAAAGGAAACACTCGAATTTATGCGAAAAATCCAAATTGGGAAAAACCACGGGACTGTAACAACAGTCAAATCTCTACTATCACAATAATGGAAAACAGTCTTCACCAACCGGTGGATACACAGGACTTCACCCAAAGGTAGATTAAAATAATACTCTTCCACATACATCTATCAAAAAGTAGGACTAGAAGGATCTCACCAAAAGAGAGTTAAACCGAAAACTAAATCCTAACTTTCTTTCTTTTTCTCCCTCGCGCACAAAAGATTCCGTGGTTGTTGCTTGTTTTTCTCTCGGCTGAAAAACACCAAAGCTTCTACGGAAGCCTTGCTTTTATAAGAATGAAAAAAAACAAAACCAATTTGTAAATGGTTTTTGTTTCCCTTCGTCAAGCCAACTAGTTTTTGGTTTTAAAACCTTGCTGGGCCACTAATTGGGGGGAACCGGCCTAACAATCACCCCCTTCACCTCAATTGAGGGGTAAAACCAAACCAACTTCTAGTCTGTAAAACAGGAGTTTATCTCTACTCGCATTTTTCGTCAACATATCGGCACCGTTGTCATCCTTATGGATCATTTCAAGAAACAATGCCTTGGACTCCAACACAACCCAAATCCAATGATATCTCACATCAATATGTTTAGACCGCGAATGGAATGTGGAATTTTTCGCCAAGTGAATAGCGCTCTAGCTATCACAGTACACCACATACCTCTCTTGCTTCATGCCAAACTCTTGTAGAAACTTCTGCATCCAAAGTGTTTCCTTACAAGATTCAGTAGATGCGATAAACTCTGCCTCTGTAGTAGACAAAGCAGCACACTTCTGTAACCTACTATGCCATGAAACTGCTCCCCCTCCAAAGTCATCAATTAACCAGAAGTAGACTTCCGACCATCAAGGTCACCTGCCATGTCAGCATCTGTATATCCATCCAACATGGTTTTCCCATTGCCAAAGCAAAGACTCAATCTGGAAGTACCCCTAAGATATCTGAGAATCCATTTCACAACATTCCAATGCTCCTTACAAGGATTGGAGAGAAACCGACTAACAACACAAACTGCATGAGCTATGTCTGGCCTTATGCAAACCATCGCATACATCAGGCTGCAAACTGCCGAAGCATAAGGAACCTTTTTCATTTCTTCCTTATCTTTCTCACTTTTAGGACACTGCGTTTTGCTTAGCGTAAAATGCCCCGCAAGTGGAGTCGAGACTTCCTTAGCACCGCCCATGTTAAACCTATCAAGAACCTTCTCGATATACTTCTCTTGAGATACCCAAAGCTTCCCATTCTGTCTGTCATGAGAAATCTTCATCCCAAGGATCCGTCTAGCCGGACCCAAATCCTTCATCGCAAAAGACTTATTCAACTCCTTTTTCAACCTGGCAATCTTTGCAGTATCATGACCAACAATCAATATGTCATCGGCATAAAGCAAAAGAATTATAAAATCACCATCAGAGAATTTCTTCACAAACACACAGTGATCGGCTGTAGTCCTTTGGTATCCCTGCCCTATCATGAAAGCATCAAACTTGTTATACCACTGCCTCGGAGCTTGCTTCAACCCATACAAGCTTTCGTTGAGACGACATACAAGCTTCTCTTTTTCCTTCTCCTGAAACCCATCTGGTTGCTCCATGTAAATCTCTTCTTCTAAATCACCATGTAAGAAGGCTGTCTTCACATCAAGCTGTTCAATCTCAAGATTCAAGCTGGCTGCTATCCCAAGCACAACTCAGATCGAAGACATTTTTACAACAGGAGAGAATATCTCATCAAAGTCTACGCCTTTTCTCTGATTGAATCCCTTCACAACTAATCTAGCTTTGTACCTCGGTTGTGAGTTGTTCTCACTTGTCTTCAGTCTAAACACCCATTTATTCTTGAGTGCTTTCTTGCCCTAAGGCAGCTTCACCAGGTCATACGTTTTATATTCATGCAAGAATTTTATCTCATCTTGCATGGTTGCTAACCACTGATCTTTCTGCTCATGACTAAGAACATCTTCATACAACTTTGGCTCTCCCCTGTCAGTAAGCAACAAATACTCATGAGCACTGTACCTGGTGGAAGGTCTCTTGTCTTTGGTGGAGCTCCTAGGCTGAACAGGAGGTGATGAAACTGGTGGTGTCTGTGTTTCAGTAGCAGGATCATCATCAAACTCACCATCTTGCTCTGTCTCAGCTCCCCCTTCAGGAGAATCATACGATTGTGGAGGAACTGAATCTAGATCAATAGGAATCTCAGGTGAAGATTCTGGCATCTCGCGCTTTCCCATATCATCAATGGTCTGGTCTTCAAAGAAGATCACATCTCTGCATCTGAAAACTTTCTTCTCTACATGATCCCAAAGTCTGTACCCAAAATCATCATTGCCATACCCCAAGAATATACACTGGTTACCAAGAATCTTTATATTTCATCACACTAATGTGTCCAAGCCTTCTATGCCAGAGATCAATAGAGGCATTGTGAGTTGCATTCACCTCTCCATTCTTCAACTTTGCATTCAAGACATACAATGAGTTCAACTTCTTTTCTCTAGCAATAAGAAGATTCCCTCTGGTAATTGTCCAACGGCCACCACCTTTAGTGCTATGATAACCCTCATCATCAAGTTTTCCAACGGAAATAAGGTTCAGACGCATATCCAGAACATGTCTGACATTCTTCAAGACAAGAGTACAACCTGTATTCGTTACCAATGATACCTCTCCCATGCCGACAACATCGCATGAGGCTTGATTGCCCATTCTTACATGACCAAAATCTCCATGTCTGTAAGAGGTAAAGAAGTGTCTGTGAGGCGTCACATGATAAGACGTACCTGAATCACCGAACCAATCACTGTCGTGACTCGCAACATTAATTGTATCATCATCACAATACACAATACACAAATACATCACTGATAGTTATTACTGCAGTAGTGTCATCATCACTTGATTCATCCTTTTTGCCTTTACCTTTTCTCGCTGCTAGTTCTCTCTTGAGAACCTGCACTCTCTCTTAAAGTGCTCATTCCCTTGTCAATGGTAGAACACGACATCTTTCTTGGATTTAGACTGTCCCCTGGACTTGTCATTCCGATCACGTGGCCCTCTGCTTTTACTTCTCCCTCTTCTATCTAACTTTTCTGTCACTAGAGCCTGCGACCCAGACTCAATACTCTGCTTTTTTCTTCTGACTTCTTCATTCATCAAAGCCTCTTTGACCTGATCCAAAGTCAAGACACCATCCCGGGTTGAATTACTGATTGACACTACCAAAGTGTCCCAACTGTCTGGAAGAGAACTAAACAATAACAAAGCCTGCACCTCATCATCCAAAATTAAACCTACATTCACTGCCTGGTTTAACAAACCCTGAAACGAACTCAAGTGCTCATTCATGCTAGCACCATCTTTGTACCTCAACCTGGTGATCTGTTTCAGTGTAGATGACTTATTGATACCCTACTTCTTCCAGTACATATTTTGGATTTTCTCTCAAAGTTCATCACCTTTTGTTTCTCCCGAAAAGTGATGAAACACACTTTGATCAATCCACTGTCGAATATTACCGACAGTTTTCCTATGCATATTAGCCCACTTTTTATCAGTCATATCACTTGGCCTACCTTCATCCCCTAGAACAGGATCAAACAAATCTTTGCAATACAACAAATCTTCCATTCTAGACTTTCACATATGATTATTGGATGAAGTCAATTTAATCATCGTACCAGTATCCGATGACTCTTCCATTTTATTGGTGTAACACCTCAACTACCAAACCGTAGCTCTGATGCCACTGTTGTGGCGGAAAAGGTATAAACACAACAAACCAGCGAAAATAATTCCCAAGAAAATCTCCTTTCCTACTACCAATAAAATAGGACAACCAACCAAGCCAACCCAACAAGCAAGTAATTCAAGAACTGATAAAATAAAGGAGGCACACGAATTTACATGGAAATCCAAATCTGGAAAAACCACGGGACTGTAACAACAATCAAATCTCCACTATCACAATAATGGAAATCAATATTCACCAACCGGTGGATACACAGGACTTCACCTAAAGGTGGATTACAACAATACTCTTCCACACACGCCTAAACCACAAAGTAGGATTGGAAGGAACTTACCAAAAGAGAGCTAAACTGAAAACTAAACCGGAGGATTTGTAGATCTTGTTGAGAGGAACACACATGCAAACTTGCACCAATAACTGACTCTGTTCCGTCACCCGATCAAAGCTTTAAAGTGAAACACTTTCTTCTCGCAACACCCAACACCCAAAAAAAGATATGAAGCACGATTGGAGGGGAACCGGGCCTAACAAATTTGAAGAGCTGATTGGTCTCTTGTTGGTGTTGTTTTGCAATATAATTTGTTCTAACCTTCAAAGATATGAAGCACGGTTCTACTACTACTTGAATGATTTGATCTTGTATTGCAATAATAACAAAATAAGAGTTTTTCAAATATATTTTAACAAAAAAAGGAAAAGAAAGAAACAAAGAAGTACGAACATTCTTCAATGCAAAACAGAAAAAAAATGTTAAGAAAAAAGATTTCAATAGTGAGGCTTTGGCACTGCTCCGGTTGCAAATCCAAGCTTATTTTTAGTGTTCGTTTTGCTGCGAAGCTCCATAAAATATAATTTTCATCTGTAAGAGGCATTGTAACCAAAGACATCGTGGAAGTATCCGACGGCAGCAACATCAACGGACGAACGTAACAATCATAATTCACGACATCTCCATCTGTATGCCAGAATTCATCTTCTTTTTGGTCGTTGTCAATTTCATTCTGATAACGATCTCGATTTCTGCGATTGTCTGGCAGTTTTCTTGATTTCTTTGTGGTTTTCTTAAACTAAAGAAACTGAATTTTGAGGTGATAATATTGTAATTTCAGTTGATATAGAGCAGGACGAACCTGCTCTGATACCATCAAGAATTATTGAGGATCAATTTTGAAGTAAAAGGAAAGAATTTGGTTGAAGATTTCTAGGGTTCTTGAGTGGGAGTTTGTGAATTGAATTCTGTATTGATTTCGTATCATTCATTTTGTCTATACACCGTATCTATGTCCATATATAGTTCTATACATTAATGTCATTAGACGACTGTACTACTGCCTATATACACACAAGTTCCTTTTATTTAAAAACTATTACAATATGTCCCTAAATATATAAAAACTTAAGATACTATGATGAACAAATCCGGCTTCAAATCCTTGATGTCATTCTCATCCTTGAGTTCAACACATACTCCCGACGACAATCTAACAAGAGACACAGCCGCTCTGGTTCCACTGACAGAGAGGTCGAGCACGAGAATCATCAATCTCGCCCTTCCTCAGGAGTTGGGAGATCGTCTCACCCATTTCGTGGTCCTCATGATGAAGAATTTTGGGAAGCCTTCTCTAAAAGGTATCCCGACTTCAAGAGAAGATTCTGCCAGTTCGAAGAAGAATTCTATGGCGAGAAGGAAAGGAGATCCATGACCAGTCTCCAAGTTGTAGGAGAGAGGCACCGACCTCGTGTTCGATCTAAAGAACAAAGAAAAGAAAGAATGGCCAAGCGTCCTCATAACTGAAATTTGCCATGTCTAACAGAGCCAGCCTTACAGGAAGGCCGTACATCGGTTGTTCCTGGGGTCGAACCTAGGTTGGAGGCTATACTTGATGAACACGAAGTGAGCCAAAGTCCTTTCGTGGAACATATTTGTTTGTGCACTAAGCCTAACAACTTCAAGCTACCTGAAGACATCAAGAAACATCGTGAAGACACCTGCCCAGTCACCTTCCTGGCCGACTACACTGCAGCCATGGATCTTTGGGGAGCTTCAAGAGAGCTTATGGCCAAAGCGTAGCCGACTTTCCTTACAGATTGGGCTAAAACTTGGTTCAATAGTCTCCCTCCAGGGAGTGTGGGCCCTTATCTTGAACTAGGACGGATGCTACATGTTAGTTCTTTTCTAGTAAAAAGTCTTCCAAAACTATTCACGAATTGGCCTCTGTGCGACAAGGAAGGAACGAGTCTTTGACCCTGTACTACGATCGTTTTAAGAAAGAGCTGATGCTTATCGGCCTGATCAACGACCTTGTTGTCCATATTGAATTTGTGAATGGACTGTCTCCTTTTGTGGCCGGGATTGCTCTTCGAGGGAAGATTATAGACAAGCATCCCGAGAGCACCATAAGTTGTTTTCTATCTTCATCATTGTACCATTTCTACCTTCGGCATTAAAATTCCTCCCATAAATAAAATAAAATGTCTTATTAAGAAGCCGGCTAGTCAAATATTTTGTGATCCGGTTCATTAATTATATGAGATATGAATAATCTGACTCCTATGATCTCATTGCATTAGTTGAGTTGAAGGAAGCAAAGGAACCTATTCATATCTCACAAATCAAATCCACATCGTGATGAGAGGAGGGTTGCCATTTGAACATCAATGGATAATCATTAGGCTAACATGGTATACTTATTTTATTAGTTTCTTTTGAAGTTTTGGCTGGTAAGAATTTATAATTTTCTCATTTTTTGGTGCAAGAACACTGGTAAAAAAAATCATGCAAGCAAATTATTTGCGTTGAACAAGTAATTTTACTTCTCTAACCATTTTAATCATAAATGGAACCTCTGCACATCTCTATTTATGATGAGTTTTGCATTTCAAAAAAAATTTATTCCGCTCGAATGCTAGTAAATTTGCAAATCTTTCTTTTGCTTCTTGTATTAAAAGTGTTTTCTTCCTTTCCTTTTGCTTTTCTTCTCGCAATTTTTGATTCATTTCATTCCTCGTAATAAGTACCTGAGAAGTTTATATAACCCAAAAAGAAAAAAAAAATTAGTAAAACATAACACAATACATATCTATGCGTGTGTGTATGTTTAGTTCATACTTATAAAATTTTTTTGGTTCATTTCAATTTCCCGAGAAAAGAATGCTTCATTAGCCAAGAATTATATTCTACTACCACTCTTCTTAACTACTATACATGTATGTCCATTAACTGCTTAACTACTAACTCCATTCCATTAAAGTAATTCAATAGAATTAGGGTGTTGACCTCCACATTATACGATTATACTGTGTTGTTAAAGTCGCCTCAGACCGGTTTTAACCGAGCCGAGTTGGTAAAAAATTCGCTAAAAAGTGATTTGGTCCAACCGGTAAAAACACCATTAAATAGGGAACCGGTGAAAAGTGTGTCAAACCGGGTTTTGACTTTGAGTAGTTTTTTATTTTTTTAAAAAAAGCATTAAAACTTTTCACTACTTTTGAGATATATTTAATCTGATATTAACTCTTACCTCTCAAAGATTTTTATTGTTTTATTGACCCAATTTTATGTTTTTTTTAACACGTGGATATCACCCGATTTATTTCATTCTTTTAAAAGAAGTTTGGCAGTGAGTAAGACGTACCAATTACAGGAAAGCACGTACTATAAAAACATGGAATGATCAATTACGGAGAATTGCCATAATATTCAGATTAGCCTCTTGGTCACATAGCTTTACTGTTGAATTACTCACTAAGAAAGCTGCTAACAATCATTGGCTCTGTATTATCCGGTCCGAACATATGGGCATTCTTGCTGATAGTGACGGAACTAGGATTCAATCCCCGCATGTGCTATATTATATGGACGACTTATCATGAACCAATTCGACAACCTTTGATGTGGAATTGGAAGAAAAAAAAATTCCCCCAAAAATTATGGATTTGAAACCTTTTTTTGTTTTTATTTTTTTTTTTTGGTTTCAAATTTTTTACTCTCCAAAAAGAAGGGAAAAAAAGCATTACTCATGCCTAGTATGGATAAATAAAATTTTAAATTGCTGCAAAACTTCTCCTTTAAAATGCTGGTCTATTAGATGCAAATGTCTAAAAACTTGAGGGCTTTGACTGAATTTTTTTTATTAATAGCAGGAAGCCTACGAAATCTGCCATAGTTTCTAGCTTTTTAAAACATATACAAAACACCATAGGGTCTCTTAATATTTTAGAACGCAAAGGATTAAATTTGAAATTGCAGCAATATTAGATTTTTTATCTAAACTTGACGCGCACTAGTCTTCTCCGTCCAAACTTCGCTCCGCCATAATCCATGGTTGCCAATTAACTTGAGAGTCTGCGTTTTTTGTTCTTTGCTTCACCAAATCTACATTCCAATCACTTGGCATTAATCACGCTCCTCTGAAGGTGCTACTAAAAAAAATTGGGATTTGGATAGGCTGCCGGAAACTTTCTTTTGGCTGGCCGGAGGTGCTCCAGCTTATCCAAACCCTTCATGGGTCTGCCACTGTTTGTTGATCTAGCATCATTGGGCTTTTCATAGCTCCTGGAAGCTCAGCTAAGCTGACATATCTTTCTAATGTTCAAGAAGAGTCAACATTAGTAAGACTGTCAGCAATTGGATTTGTTTCCTGAAATACATGGGTGATCTTATATCTCGGGCGATAATAATATTTTCTATTTCTTGCAGAGCGAAATCACCAAGGATACTTACCTCCACTGGTAATGAGAATGAAAATAGTCATATTTTACGTTTGAATCTCAATATATACCAAATTGCGTAGCACACATTTTCAGAGTCCAAAAAGAATTCCAATAACCTCTGCCATGAAGCTGTTTCACGATAAAAGAAAGATTTCCCTTATGAAGCCGTAACCGGAATCTTTGCTTACGGGTAGTGATGACCCGTCCGTGTTAAGGATATATGTATTTGGCGCCAGTTTCTTCCATCTCACAACAATGCTTTTCTTCTTGTTTATGGCAGAATTCACATTAAAAAAAAATATTGTTTCCATGAATGCCTTCTCCGGACTTGACCCAACAGTCAAAGAATGAACAACCATTAGATTTTTTTTGCTGTCACAAAGCTTTCTCTCTACCACTAATGCTGCAACGTATGTCAATGTGTTGTAACTTGCGGAAGAATAATTTCATATAATTGTGCAAAAACAAAATCAAGACAGCGCGCACCCAAACAATCAACAATGCTGTGTTGAATCGATTCCGCAGTCTCCCTGCAAAAAGAACAAATTGACGGATTAGCATGAATGCTAAAAGTTGATATAATATCCGAGAAAGATACCAACTTATTTCATTGCCGCCGCGCGCGCACACACAGATATATCTTACTATATTAGAAACAAAAATCACATTTAAGAGAAAGCACCACCATTTGCCATGTGGCATTTCCACATCATATTTTTAAAATAAATCTTTATTTTCACATCTCCTAGACTTAAAAGGTAAATGCAGTTCAAATTCACCTCCACCTCCTATTTTTGCCAAAATAAAAAAAAAAGACGGGTTCATAAAAAACCCAAATCATCATCCCCATCTCCACGACAATCGACTCCCTAATCAATCCCTTCTCCACAATAAAAAAAAAAAAAAAACAAATTTCTCATCAATCATCAATTGAGAATATGTGGTGAAATATACTCATTTCCTATTAGTATGTTCAATCTTTTCATTAATGATAATCAACTACATCCTGATCAGATACAATTTCCATTTCAAAAATATTCTCTTTACCTTTCTATATAAACAAAAAGGAAAAAAAAAATTCTCATTGATCTTGCTTTGGCCGTTGTGGTGGTGCAATTACAGGTATTAAAATTTAAATGATTTTATTTCCACAGATCATTTGTTTGGTTTTTATTATTTTTTGTTTTTCCCGTTCAAGAATAGTGTTATTACTATTATTTTTATACAGCCATCCGTTACAGCTACCATAGCCGTTGTCAGGTAATATGATGTGATTTCTTATATAGTTAGTTAGCCTATAAGTTTTGTATGATTTTAGTCCTCTTTGGATTGAATTGATTAATTGAGTTTTTGTTACAAAGTGTAGTTTTTTAAATTTCTTTTTAATGTTTCATTCAATTAGAGTGGTTTTCTTTTTTTAATTATGGAGTCTCAGTTTTTTTTTTCGTATATGGTCAGTTTCGAAAAATATTTTTTCTTTGTTTAATTGTTTTTTATTTTGTTTCATACTCTCAGTTGACCAATTATTATTATTATTATTTTATTTTATTTGCAAGTAAAGCGCGTTTTTTTTTGTGTTCGGACTTTCAAGAATATACTTTTTGAATTTTGGTTTTTGGACTTTTTTTAGTTTCTCATCATCTAAATAGTTCAGGTCGCTTCTTCTAACTAATTTCTGGGGAAGCCTTTTATGAATTTGAAGCGGAGAGGGAAAGAATGATGTTTCTACGTTTATTTGTATTTTATACAACATGTTTACCTACAGAAAAAAATAAATTTCTCAATTTTAAATGGGCTATCTTTTACTTTCTTTTTTTTTATTTGCCATGGTGAGGTGAGTTCTTTTTTAGTATAACTTGAAACCTATGCAAATTTACACTATTTTCATTCTCATATTTGTGATCAACCAATTTCATCAATTAACCAGTTTCAAAATTATATTTTTGATATTTTACTACTTATAAACTTTTGGAAGAAATAGTTTCAACAATTAAGCGTATACTCTTGGGAGGAAGCTTACTACAAAGCTATTATAAATCTCCAAAACTAAGTATTGATTTGGCACAACTGGAGAATATCAATAAATTATCTTACTAATATTTAAACTTATTAGGATGCTTTTATATTTTTTCTAGCATTTAATTCAAGACATATATTTGATCAAGTTTATTTATATTTAAGAAGTAACACTTATAAAACATTTCTAAAATCTTCAAACATTTCTAAAACGTACTGGGTCAAATACAATTTCTTTTTATGCCAAATATAAACTTTTTTATGATCACACTTATAAAACATTTCTAAATTCTTCAAACATTTCTTAAATATATCGGGCCAAATACAAAATATTTTTTTTCCAAATACAAATATTTTTAAGATATACATATATATTGGGCCAGGGTCGCGCATTGCGCGACCAGACATCACTAGTATATATATATATGAATAAAAAAGACGAAAAAAAAAATTCAGGAGGAATAAAACAGTGCTAAATATTCTGAAAAAATCCTTGCTTTGGTACTCGGCTTCTAATCGCTTCATAAGCAGGATCAAAATTTTTATATTTGTGTGCTTATATACTCTTAATTTCAAAAGTGTAATTATAAACAGTTTAATATAACCATCCATTCAACATCCCACAATGCCAGGCCAAAGAAGCAAATTAAAAAGTTACTTCTTACTTATTTTAGAAGTCCTGTAACTTATTCTATTTTCATATTCAATCAATAATTTAGTATTTTTAAGATCAATTTTTTTTTTAATTTTAACCAACTATGCACCATATCAAAGTATCAACATCTAATACTCATCGTTCCAAACAAAAATTAATATCCCACATTGAAGATGATTATAATTAGATCCAATTGTTTACCAAATGCAATAATAACAATAATAATAATAAATAATAGTAATAAGTATTCAAATTCACTTCCAAAAATTCCACTTATAATTGTAATTTACTACTATTAACTTTTATGAAAAATAAATACATAAATTTAGATTTTTTAAATGTTAAATAATTAGAAATGTTTATCGCTTAATTATAACATCACCGAATGACTCTCCGCGCCAATTGGAATTGACCCCGATTACTCATCAGTCCTTACCCCAGCCTTCGCGAGTCCATCCCCAAGCTGAGTCTGGCAACACAGATTATACTTTCTCTTCGCATAGTTTCTTCTGGTTTAAGATGCTGCTTCCTCGCCTAAGCCCTGAGTGAGAGATACCAAACATTCCTTCTGAATAATTGCAGCTCCAACAATTCCGTAACTATAAAGTTTCCTACGCTGACAGCCATCCTCCACAAGATCACACGAAGATAACGTGCAAGCATCACTTCCCATAATCAGCTTAGTGTCATTCCAACATGTGAAGGGGACAGGAACACCTCCGAAGGGTCCTAAACAAAATCTTTTCACCCATGACTCCTCCACTCCGTATTCCTTCATCATCCAAATGATAATCGAGCAAGACTCCTCCTCATAACCACTGCGTTCACGTCTTAAGTAGACCGAAGCCAAGGAATCCTCTAACACAACAAGAGTCGACAATTTTGTGAATCTTCATACGGAGGAGTTGGAGCAGACATCACTTGCACTTCTTCAGTGCTCATGTCAAAATAGAGAATTCTATTTTGATCCAGATAGCCTTCACGCAAGCATGCACACCAGTGGAAAGATCCTTTGAAGTATACACCAGATTCACGAAACCACAGGTTGCTAGGCTGCAAAATACCTGGTGTCGCAGGATTGTCAATTGATGGCAAGGTGATATCTTTCTGTGTCCAAGTATTAGTGCTGAGACAGTAGATCTCCACCTTATAGAATCCATAACTGTAATCATAATCCTCATACGAAAAGAAGACCATTGAGACAATCTTATATTCATTGGTACAAGGATCAAACCCAAGACCTAAACAGTCTCTGTAGCAACACAATCCTTGAGGACACCCAAAGGGGCGTTTAGGGAGTTTTCTTGATTCACGTGTAGCAGGATTATACAAATAGATAGAGCCTCCAATGCAATTTTCTTCAACATTTAAAGCTTTAACCAAAAAGCCACAGTCTTCTGCTAGGCAAACAATACCATTGCAAGGTCCAATAACTATAGTCCGAAAGCGTTCCAAACCTCGGAAATCAGGGCCATCATTAAGAATGAATCTATCATCGTCGACATTCTGAGTATAGAGTGACAAGAAAGTGGTATTGTTTGAGTCGTCGCTATCCTTGAGCAGGAGGTAATCGGTTCTGTTGCTTAGAGAAGGATGGTCGAGATGCATATGAGCGAAACAAGGACTACGGATCAAAGCACGCCAAGTTCTGCAAACGCATTGAAATTTCAACAAAGATTTGACAGGGAGTCTGAGTAGAATCTCCATCGTGATGTCCTCAGGCATATCCATAATGGACGGTGATGAAGATGTTATTCTTTTACTTCTTCAGCTTAGCTTACAGTAGCAAAGAAAAGGACATATAACTGCAGTTTCCAAACGGCATTGGACATTAAATAAACGGACATTAAATAAACTTAGGACTTTAATCATAGTTTTATAACTGAGAATCAGTTTCACAATGCCAAATCCAAACTGAAAAAAAAAATGTTTTATCAACAATTACATAAAGCACAACAGTTGCATATACAGCCAATGATGGATTTCAACAATGCTCTGAACTTTCAGCAATTAAGGTTACCGTGCAAAGCCATTCATTCAACAGGATCAAAGATTGCATATCCATTCACAATCGTGATTGGTCAAGCAATAGCATTCATAAGAAAGTTCAAATGGATTTTGACCCAAAAAAGAAAAAAAAAGGAAAAAAATCAAACAAACAAAATCACACATACGATCGCGTGTGGAGCAATAGCAACAAAATTACAAATTTCCTCTCAATATCATCCAAACAAACATCAGGCATCATCATCAATTAGAAAAGATCGATAAAAATCAGGAAATCAACTGATTAATGACTCGATATTTAACTACTCGTCTTCCGTCAATTCGTGCAAATTCAAAGGTTATCAACTAGGAAGTAAGGAAGAAGATACAAACTGGAACTCAAAATCAGAAAAACCCCCAGCTAGATTCAAGTATAAAAAATCGCTAATTAAAATTCTTACCGTATCATCCTGCATCGAAACGAGAAGTTGATTCTCGGAGATCTCCTCCAAATTGCCGGCGGCGTCCTTCAACTGGGAGCTGTCCATGGCTTTAAATTTTAGTGAATGCTCAAGAATCCAATACTTACACCACGGATAGGTTTCAAAGGAATTAGCGGTGGTGATTGTGGGTTTTAATACTTTGCATAGGAAAGCAAACAAGAAAGAAAATTATGCGCCAAAAAGAGGAAAAGAGGTGAGGAAAGGGGAAAGTCAGACTTTGACACGCCAAAGGTAATTTACGAAAGTCGTTTTTAAGGTACTAAGGTTTTTTTTCCTTTTCCCTATTTCTTCTTCCTTTTTGTTAATTACAAATTATTCTCTTACTATACTTACTTTAATAGTTTACTATTTTAATCTTTCCACCATTTGAATTAAATTCAACTTTAAAAGGATATTGTTATTGCCAAAATAATTATTAGGATCCGAAACAAATTATTTTCTTTATTTCAAAATTGCCCTTACCCTTGTCAAATACTATAACTTCTTCCTGCCTCCTCTCCGAACATATGTGAGCTTGTAATCCAATGTTTTTATAAACTCCATTTTGCAAACCGTGATGCATATGTTTAGTCCCATTTAAATTTAGTCGATTAACCTCAACAAAATAGCAAAAATCACAAACTTATGGGACTGTACTATATACAAAACACGGAATAGAAGTTTAAAATAATTAAATTTTCAATTGAAGGTAGACCTTGCGAGCATTAAGAGAAGTAAACGCCACAGACGATAGAATGACAAAGCTTGGATTTTCTCTACCTATACAGGCCAACATGTGTTCCCGGATTTTCTTTTAAATTATACTCTCTCCTCCTTAATATAAGATATTTTGATTTGTCGTTGGTTTCACCAAAAATAACTAATATTAGACAAGAAGTGAAGACAATCTATTTTAAATTTTTTTTCACACTAATGATTCTTGATTTCTCTAGGTTGATGATGAACACGTTGATGATACTGAAGAGAGCCAATATATTAGAAGAGAGACCATGAGAACAAAAGAAATTGTATTAGATTTGGACAAGGGCAATTTAGGAACAAAGACAATAATTTGTTTTGGATCCTAATAAATATTTTGGCAATAATAACACCCACTTTAAAATTATAGCATTAGATCTCTTGTGTGATTAGAGTGTTTATAAGTCGCGAAATATTATTATCCAAATAGATTATACTCTGGTCATTATAATCAACTAAAAAATTTTATATAGTAAAAGAGTACGGTTTTAGAACACATGGCTTGTAGTCGCTTAGTCAATTAAAAATCATAAAAATCAACTTCAATTAAATGTAGTAAATTTTGTTTATTACATCGTTAATTTATTTTTTTGGATATTTCTTTAACCATGGCAAACTACTCCCTCCGTCCCATAATTATTGTCCAGTTTGAGTTTTCATTTCTAGTTCAAATTGTACTAAAAGTAAAATTTCAAACTGGACAATAATTTTGGGAGAGAGGGAGTAATAATTACCCAATATTTAGTAAATTCATCAGTTTGACAAATAGTTATAATCCCGATCTCCCGCATAGTTTTGAAGGAATTTGCATGCTAACTGTGTCCAGATTCATGACATTAACAGTTTGGAAATATTTTCAGTGAAATAAAACTTACATAATTTCCTTCACTTACTCCCTAATTTAAATTATTTTGAGATTTCGTGGAAGATCTTGAAAATTAATTTAATTAATAAAACTGAACCTAGAAACAAAAGATAACATTTATTATTATTATTATTATTATTATTATTATTATTATTATTATTATTATTATTATTATTATTATTATTATTATTGAATCTAATTAGTTTATACCCTGTGTGTTACAGGAAAAATAAGTGATGAGTGTAAAATGTGTTTGGAAGGGAAATGGAAGATTTATGCTTGCTAAATACTAAAAAAAAATTAATGGAGTTTAACTATTATAAACTTGATCGAATTCAAAATTCGGAAAACAAAAATATCAGTGGAGTTGAACTATTATGTTTATAAAAATTAAAAAATTTTGGAAACTTTTAAGCAATAAAATATTCTTTAAATATTATTAATCTACGAAACAGCCACTAAAAATTGAGATATTATTAAAATGTAAAAAATATTTTAAAAATAATTAAATGATCACATTCTATCTTGACTTTGTCCTTGTAAATTTTATATGTTATTTTATGGACATAATATAATTTCAGAATTAAAATAGTTTAAGTAAAAGTTTTGATTAACTTTTCAAATAAAAATATTAATGCAAATTTACGGCACTATTAATGCAGCACCACTTCCAAAAATGTCATGAAAGGCCATTTGTCTTGTAGTGATGAAGGCGACTGTGTACTGAAGAACTGTCCAAATGAAAGAGAAACTTCGGTAAATACAAAATTAGGTACTGATAGTACAAAATTCCTTTAAGTTCTTACAATAAAAATTCTTAGAATTGATTGTGAATCTTGGTTGAAGTCACTTATTTTGTATTTTTATTATTTGTTTTAGTTACAGTAATTTATTGAGAATTTCAGCCGCATCTTCAAACTATTGTTGTATTTGATAAAACTATTTTTTGAAAATGATTCTCCCTAATATTCCTTTTCTTCTTGCAGGTTATTACATAATGTACTCGATAGTATCTAATAAAAAAACATGCCTATTACTTACATTGCTATTTTCAACTATGTTTAATGTAGTTTTTGAGCATTTATGTGGCGTGTCATAATTATATGAACTTATAAATTAATCTTTATTTAATTTATTGGAAAAGAATTTTTACAGTATGTGATGCTGCATACGGACCTGCTTCTAAACATATTGCCAATTCTTAAGAATATTCGGAGGTAATGCATGTATCGATGAATTCCTAGGTGATCAAAAAGGGCTTTGCCGGAGAAGTGTGTGGAACAAAGATTCAAGACACACAGATTAGTTTGCATGTCGATCTTAAACCTTTTGCTTTAACTTTCGAAGGATTACAACAAATACAAGAACAGTAGCAACAAAGAGGTTTCAATTAAATAAGAGCCTTTCTGCAGAAGCGACTCAAGATATTTTGGGGCCTAAAGTGATTTTCAAATTTGAGGCCTAAAATCAAAATTTAATATATTAGTTATTTTTTAAAGTATTAATAATTTAGTTTTTGAAAGAAAAGTTAGGATTCAATAATGGGTTATTAAAATTAACCAACTACTAAAGTGATGAGTACTAGTAAACACTACTATCAAAAATTGTATAAACATTAAACAAAGATGACATGGCCAATTATATACTCCCTCCGTGCCATAAAAATAGTCTAGTTTAATAAAAATTGTTTATCCCAAAAAATAGTCTAGTTTTACAAAAGTCCAATTTAATTGAATTAAAATGACTTAAATATCTAAAAGAGGAGTGGTGAGGAAAACAAGATCCACATCTTTTGATTTTTATTTTTTTTAGTTTTCTCCCATTTTTTCAAATGATTATATCTTTTAATACATGAATAATTAAAAAATGTGTTATATATCAAATTACTCTATGTAATGAGATATTTCCATCAACATCCATTGTCAATATTTTTTGAGATAAAAATTTTGATCAAATTTAAGTTGTAAAATAAATACATATATAGTTAACTTTTATAGAAATAACTAGAATGGGCATTAGTGTAAGTTAGGGTCATAAAATGAATTGTACATTTGGTGTGTTGACCAAATTAAAAAAGTTGTACATTTTCAAAATGGACTATTTTGTGAGACGGATGGAATACAAAGTATCACCACTAAATCAATATGCAGCATGAATACCACTAATAAAGAAGAAATAAAATGGGAATATTAAATAGTTATTAGTTGTGAAGATAACGATCAAAATACAAAGTATCACCACTAAATCAATATGCAGCATGGATACCACTAATAAAGAAGAAATAAAATGGGAATATTAAATAGTTATTAGTTGTGAAGATAACGATCAAAGCATTTCAATTTCTAAATTTCACCAGTTAAGAGTGTATATCATAATCAAATATAGGAGGCCTAAATTTTAGATGGATAATTTAGAATTTTTTATTAATGTTGAGATAATTTTGGATTTTTGGCTTAATACATTTTTTTAATCTTTTTAAAATATATATTATTTTATTACTAATGCATAAAATTTTTGGGCCTTCCACAATTTGGGGCCTAAAGCCCTATCTTCACCCGCCTTACCCTAAGGTTGGCTCTGCCTTTCTGGCGGTCAAGCGAAGAAAAAAAAAAACAAAGTGTACTACTTCGTTTGTTGCTCTAAAATCACAATTAGCAAACCTCAATTTTGTATAGTCCGTACTTCAATAGGGAAATATTAATGAGAAATTTTATTACATCACTCATGCCATTTACAAAGACCTGTGCAATAGTTGGAAGAATGACCATAACAAAATGGTTGAATTGAATTCTATTCAAGTGATCTCTTTGTACTGACATGAGCAAAACTGTGTATATTCTTTACACAAGGACTTTAACAAAGTTGGAAAGATATCGATTATATATATTGTTTTTGTAGTACTTGTCATTTATACGGTTGATACTTCTATTTTTCTGAAAAAAAAAATTGTAACACTTTCTGGTTAGTGACATTGATAATAGAATGAAACATAGTCTTCTTCTATCTTACGAAAGATAGTCGACATTGTAAATTGATAATTATATTAAAAACTATACAATTTACAATGTTGACTATAATGTATCTTTTTTCCCGACATTGTAAAACACTTTCTCTATTATGAAAGCCTTTGGCTTACAAGTCTTGCAAGTTCTCTACACTTTACATCGGTGTTGTAAAGCTCAGCTCGGACCGGCTGACCGAATCGGTTTAACCAGGAATCGGACCATAGACCGACCCGAGCAAGAGACAATTTCGCCATTTAAAGACCCGGTCAAAACCGGTCGAAACTTCAGGCGAACTGGGAACCGGTCTGACCGGGGTCTCCCCCTCGTTGAGTCGAGACGAATCGAGCCCTCGAGTTGCCTGACCCCTGACTCTTCTGAGTCGACCTCCGAGCTGAGTCTGACAACAGTGCTTTACATTAAAGGGCCTAACCCCTATTTATAATGGTTCATGGAACTTTCTACAAATTTTTAAGATATTTTTAACATCCATAAATATCTAGATTTTTCTATGTAATATCTAGATATTTTAATCTAGATAATATTATAGATTGTTCAACTAATTTCTAAATATCTAGATATATTAATTCCTATTATCTAGATATTGAGTTTTTTCTCAAGAAAATGATCTTGGAAAGGGAGTGGACCGAAATATTGCTTGATTGTGGGAGTAGACAGAAAAACCGGTCTCGGATTTGATAAATCCGAGTTACAAAAAAAATTGGATTTTGTACATCCGAGTTACAATAAATAAAAAAAAATTAAGTATACTAATCCGGATTAACAGAAAATCGGATTTCAAAAATTCGAATAGAAAAAATAAACTAATATTTCTGGAAGAAAAAGTTTAAGTTTTTAGGTGAAAAAAAATTTTTGACCAAACTCGGATTTTCAGAATTCGAATTAAAGTTAAATTCGGATTTAAACAATCTGAGTTAATAATACAGTGTAAACTCAGATTTACAAAATCCGGCTTTCTGCACATTGTAAATTCGGATTTTTCAAATCCGAGATTCGACAAAGACTTTGGCCAGAAAAACATTGCTTTTATTTCCAAGTAATATCAACCAAAAAAAACAATATGAAACACAACTTAATAAACATTAAAATGTTGGAAAGTATTTAAATTACAAATATTCCCACTAAATTGTGTTCGAATATCAAAAGTATTTAAATTAAAAGCTAATAGACATAAAAAAGTTTTAAAACCACTAAATTGTCTTTGACCCTTTCTCTTCCTTCCACCGGAACCAGGAGTAAACCTATTCGTTGGTTCACGCTTTCTTGAACCCTTACAAATGCCTTGGGACCGTCTGCTAGAAGAAGCACGATGCGGAGGGCTCCCTTCTTCGTGACTCATGTTGAAATCTTCATCGCCCGCATCTTCCTCATCATCCTCCTCTCCCGTCAGAGTCGGATTTGTATTAATTACCAAAGTCCTATCCCAATTTATCTCCACCGCCTCCTCCTTCCTCCTCCAATATCTTCTTTTGGTGCTTTTTTCGTTGGAGCCACAAGAGATTTTCTTTGAGATAGCGGATTATCTTCTCAAATTTGATTCTCATCCTCATGATTATGATCATCAGGCGCCAAAGTCAGGGCGGTAAAGCTGCGATCAAGTATCTTTTGAAGCTTTTCATCAAGATCACCATCGAGCTCCGGATGTTTACAGAAGAAGTCTTCAGTGATGTGATTGATGTTGCTGAGAGTTTCAGACTGCGAAATTTGAACTATATTATTAGAATAGAAAACTATAGGGAAAAACAACAATAATAATAAGATAAAAGGAAATAAAATAAAATAAAATAAAATAAAAATCTTACATATAATCTCTCCCGAGCTGAAGATGAGTGAAAACCCTGTGCCAAGCTCCCATACAAAGTCGGATCACTGATGAATTTAACGGTCCGCTTCTGAAACCATGACAAGTAATCTGATGAGCATTGAGGACCTAAAATTGGATCCACTTCTTCATGCGGGACCACGCGATTTATCCCAGTATCTCAGTAAGGCGTGAAGTCTCGATGAGCCACCCTCAGTCATCATACACTGAAACTGTCAAAGAATCTGATTAAAAAGAAACTAAGAAATACCTTGGAAGTTGTTCAAAATTGGATACCCAATCGCCGTAAACAAGATCAATGTCTTTCCTCCTTCCCTGCCATGCTCTTCGATAGGGAACATCGACTTCTAACATGGTTTTTATATCTTCACGCTGTAATCTGAGTCGAGCTCAACCTCACTCGTGATCAGATGAGCAATAACCGTTACAGTCACGTTACGATTATTATTTTCAGTGGTGGTACTCATACAATTGTGTTCGTCGCACCATTTCACGATTTCCCATAAACTGTGATCCTTCAACGAGCCACGTATCTTCCAAGGACATGGAGTTCAAGAGTTGGGTATTTTAGGGATTTGCACTAGATATACAATATTGACGGGTCACTCTCCTTCACAAAATACTCCATGTGTTTGGCAACGTGGATTCCACGCCATAACACCCTTCTACAGTTCGAGCTTGTTCTTGAAACAAGTTCCTTTTTTTACGGATGCTGGCGTCCTATCCCATCTAGGAAGACAAAAATCATCCATGTCCACACTTCTATGATTCCATTCACCCTGTTTGTGATATATATGTCGGTCCGATGCAGAAGTGGGGAATTTGTCTCCCATCTCTTCATCACTTTCTACACTCCGTTCTGATATTGATTAGTCTTCATCACTCTGTTCACTTCTCGTTGTATAGTCATAATCTTCCATGTTATCGTCATTCCTTCGTTCCTTCTTCTAGATGGGACCGGTAAGTACTCACCCTCTCCAAATGAACATGCAAATCAATAGATGACACACTAGGAATAAAGTACAAGACTTGCAATGATGCGTCATCTTTAATTTTGGCATAACGCCTAAAACCATTGCCAATACTATCATACAAGAGTGAGAGATTCGGATTCGCGTTTCCTCTTTTCCACCCCGCTCTTTCATAAATCACTCCAACCAAATCATAGTATGATAACCTATGATCGATCACAATGGAAACGTCCGGCAAGTTGTTGAAAGTATTTACGATTCCGTTCTCAACAACAAACTTACTCGACCAATACACATTAATAAAATATGGATCATTAAACGCCATTATATATGTCCATTATATGAAGGGACATTTGTCAAAATAAATGAACACTATACCCTAAAGACAATCAGAATACATTGTAATTACACCACAATTTACCACAATTCACTAAACCTCAAATCCACAATTTATCACAATTCACTTCAATTTACTAATTTTTATGTTCAAAATCACATGTACAACAACAACAATCAACATCTAAACCAAAACCTAAGCTCTAATCACTTTTACACATCCACACTTTACTACAATCCACAATTCACCACAATTCAACATAATGTACTACATTTAACATTCTTCAAAGCCACATGTAGTTATGTAGTACAACAACAATCAACAATGAATCAAAACCTAAGCCCTAATCATTTTTATACATTCACATTTCACCACAATCCACAATTCACCACAATCCAACACAATTCATCACAATTCACCACAATTCACCACAATGTACTAAATTTAACATTTTTCAAAACCACATGTAGTCATGTACAACAACAACAATCAACAACTAAACCAAAACCTAAGCCCTTAATGCTTCTACACAATCACACTTCAACAATCCTACACAAAAACTCAATGATTAAACTAGAAAATATCAAAATAAACACTAACCTTCTCGTGAGATCGATTTAAGACATTGGGGGCCAAAATCCATGTAGAAGCTCGAATGCTTCCCAAGTAAGCATCCTTCACATACTTGATTGGGCTCATTGATAGGAGGTATTCCTTTCACCATGCATTTGGCAGATAACATTTTCAACTCACCAAAATTTAAATGACCATAGCTCATGTGCCAAATCCACGAATCATCCTTCAAGCATGCTTTCATGCAGTTCTCATGTTGAATGTTCAACAAGAACATTCTATTGCTTGTCATTGGCACAATGGTAATCAATTTTCCTTCTGGATCCTTAACTATGGCACTACGATCTTTCAAATGAATATCGTAATTTTTCTCCAGAAGTTGTCCCAAGCTCAAGATATTACTCTTAAGACTTGGAACATAATAAACTTCTGAGATGTATTGGGGATTTCCATCTTTAGCAAGGATTAGTATCTTACCTTTGCCTTCAACCCTTGCTCTAGAATCATCTCCAAACATCACGTAGCCTTTGGCTGGTTCCACGTCTACGAACAACCTTTTTTCCCAGTCATGTGGTTACTTGCAGCAGAGTCAAGATACCACGTCTTCTTCTCTCCTTTGTCCTCGTGTCTCGCGATTAAGAGAGTGAATTGAACTTCATCTTTAACCTCCATAAGATTGGCTTTTTCTTTTACTTGACTAGAATTTCTACACTCACTTGCATAATGACCATATTCTTGACAATTAAAGCATTGGATTCGAGATTTACCTCCTCTCTGAAACTTGATACCTCTTCCACGACCTCTTGTAGATTGAGAGCCTTGGTTGTTTTCCTCTTTGGTAGATTGAACATAGCTTCCTCGAGCTCTTCTTCGTCCACGTCCTTGAAATCCACCATTGCCACGTCCAAAGTCTCCATCTCTTTCTTTGAAAGAGAGTTTTGTGTAGAGGACTTGCTCCAAAGATTCTTTGGGCCTCCTTTTCTTTAGTTTCTCTTCATGGGCTACTAAAGTACCCATGAGTTGATCAATGGTCATAGAGTCAAGATCTTTTGACTCCTCTATCGCTACCACAATATAATCAAAGCTTGGTGTCAAAGAGCGAAGAATTTTTTCTATCACTCTTGTGTCACTCAAGCTTTCTCCATTTCTCTTCATCTCATTTGACACTTTCAAGACACGAGAACAATAATCTGAAACAGATTCGGATTCCTACATTTGTAAAGCTTCAAATTTTCCTCGAAGAGTTTGAAGACGTACCTTTTTCACCTTCTCAATGCCTCTATTAGCATTCTCTAGAATGTCCCAAGCCTCCTTTGATGTAGAAGCATTTGCCACCTTCTCAAACATGGAATCATCTAGGCATTGATGGATAAGTGAAAGAGCTTGTTGATCCTTTCTGCTTGCTTTGTTGAGTTCCCCCTTTTGGGCAGGAGTCAAAGAAGCCTCGTCTAGAGGTTTCTCATAACCTTTCTCAACAATCTCCCAAACCTCATGAGAGCCTAAGATCGCCTTCATTCGAATGGACCACTTACCATAGTTTTCTTTGGTAAGTTGAGGGAATTGGAAAGAGATCATTCCATTTGCCATCTTACTTCAAAACTGGACCAACACCAGCTCTGATACCAGTTTGTTAGCAAGAGAATCCTTTGGGTTATAAGGAAGAGATCTTTTAGGTGATAGGTTTAGGAAGTGAAAATGGAAGAGAAGGAAATTTTGGGAAAAAGGGAGCTTTACTACTTTATAGTAAAAGGAAACAAGGTGGAGTGTATTAAGCTTTCTCACAACTTAAGCTTTACTACTTTAAGCTTAAGGTTTCTCACAACTCTCTACACACCTTACATAAGGGGGTTAACTCCTATTTATAGGAGTTCATGGAAAATTCTACATACTTTCAATATTTTCCTCCTACACATAATATCGAGAAATTTCCTTACTAATATCTAGATATTTCATCTAGATATTTCTATTGATTATTATACAATATCTAGATATTTTAATAGAAGTTTCTACTACTTTCATCATCTCTTTCTAGTCTATTCTTCATATTGGATTTGGGCTCAATTTTAAACAAAGACTAATGATCTAACTAATTAAATTGGATGACCCAATGTAATTTTGGACCAAACAAGTTTATTTACTAACAGAGAATACAATTATTAAAAGCTTCCCGTAAGGCTTCAGAATAATGTCTTCTGCTATTAAAAAAAAACCAAAAAAAAAAAAAAACACAGAGAGCCAAAGAGTGAATGAATGAGCTAAAGTTTGTGATAGCTTTTGAATAATTCATCTGATTCATATGTTTGTTACAGCGGTAGAATTTGCCATAAACAGGGGGGAAGGAGCTAAAATTTGTATTACTGTATTAACTCTAGTATAAATGCAATTTTTTTTTTTTTTGTTGGTAGAATGCAAGACTTGGACTTAGATCCCTTAATATTTACAAGAATTCAAGAAATCTTACATGTAGTATCATCATCATCAATTCATCACCAACTGTGAAAACATTGAAGAGTGAATCTAAAAGTTAACAGATCCTCGATCTGGTCTTGATATGCAATTGAGCTCTGGAGACGAAGTAATTGAAAGTTTGGTACTCCTCTGTTTTCTTTCAAAAGTGGTACAAAACCCTACAAGATGTCTAGCGGCCAACGGCTGAAAAATTTCTTGTATTTGTATTCATTCGATTGTTAGGGCTAAGGCAAGTGCAATTAATACTGAAAAATATCACGTTCTTAGTGCCGTCAAGGAGTGAGAGAAAATATTAGTTTAGTTCCTCGGTCCAATCATAATTTTCTTGTTTATTGTACTAACTCAAATAAGAAAAGAATTATTAAATAAGTTTTACTCTGTTTACCTATTCAGAAAAGTTAATACCCTTCTCCTTAAAAGTATATGTCGTATTAGCCATTAGGGCAAGGATAAGTGCACTATGAAAAGTTGAACAATTGTGTTCACGTTATTTTCATTTTTTGTGCAGTCAACTAGTGAGAAATAAGAATCTCTTCTCTTGTCCAAACACGATTATTATGTTTGTGGTACAATTTTATTTTTGATGACTATTAAACAAGACAACATTATCGAAATAGAAGTGATAATTATTTCAACCTGCAGTTTCCTGAAAAGTTACCTCCCCAAAGTGTCAGTGTGACTACATGCGGCGCAACCACTCAGAAACTATGCTAAACATATTTGTTTCGGATAAATTGTTGGGTGGTTGCACTTTTACACAAAAGATAGGTGCATATCCTCATGGTTTTTTTAAAATATTTTTCTATAAAATATCGTGAATGTTTTTTTCCAAATTTTGTAAACTGCTAAATCTAAAAAACATCAAAAATGTTTAAGAAGATTATCTCTCTTAATTCGTGTCAAATTAGAAAACATGTTATGTACATCTATCAATCTCTCTTTGAATTTGCATCATCGCCATGGCCATGTCCTTGCCCCCCCTCCTCCTCCTGTTGTGTCGGAAAGGGCATAAACACAACACACTTTGGAAGCGAATCCCAAAATAATTTCTTTTCCTACTACCAATAAAATAGGAAAACCAAACAAGAAAAATTATTCAAGAATTGATAAAATAAAGTAGGTACACGAATTTACGTAGAAACCCAAATCGAAAAAAACTACGGGACTGTAACAACAGTCAAATCTCCACTATCACAATAATAGGAAACAATCTTCACTAACCGGTGGATACACAGGACTTCACCCAAAGGTGGATTACAACAATACTCTTACACAAACACCTATCACAAAGTAGGACTGGACGGATCTCACAAAAAGAGAGCAAAACCGAAAACTAAACAAGAGGAATTGTAGATCTTGTTGAGAGGAATACACATGCAACCTTGCACCAACAACTAACTCTGTTTCGCCACCCGATGAAAGCCACAAAGTGAAACACTTTCTTTTTACAAAACCAAAATCTCATAAACCCTAGTTCTCTCTCTTTTCTCTCGTGCACAAAAGATGTTGCACGGCTGCCCTTGTTTTTGCTTGTCAAACTCATGTGCAAAAATCACACCAAAATTGTGCGTGGAAGCTTTACTTTTATAAGCACGAAAAACCATAACCAAAACCCAATGGAATTGGGTGTGTTTCCCCGGTCAAGAAAACCAAAACCAAAGCCAATAAGGCGTGGTTTTATTTCTTGTTTTTGCGGGTCCAATTGGAGGGGAACAATCTCCCCCTTCACCTCGATTTGGGGGTACAACCCAACCGGCTTCCTTTTTGCAAAACAGGAATTTGTCTCTACTTAGACTCTTCGTCAACATATCGGCACCGTTGTCATCTGTATGAATCTTTATAAGAAACAATGCCTTGGACTCCGACACATCCTGAATCCAATGATATCTAACATTAATATGTTTTGACCGCGAATGAAATGTGGAATTTTTCGCCAAGTAAATAGC